AAATATTTGAAAGAAATTTAAAAGAAATAAATGAAAGGCTAGAATTTCACAGCTTGTTCCATTACACTTTTACAAAAAATACAAAATTGATATTCTTCATTTGTCAAAGTTGATATTTTTTTACACATCAAGTGGTTTAACTTATTCATCAAAATAATTCAAGAACATTAATATAGTACTTGTACACAGTATTTAATTGATGTAAATATAAAAGTGCTAAGAATTTCCTTTGAATTGTTTGATTAGTATGCTAATTATATGCAAATTAAATATGCTAATTATATGCAAATTAGCACCCCTCTTTAAATTTTATGTGTGGAGAACACTGCTAGTATATCTTTGTTAAAAAAAAAGCTGTCAATGAAGTAGTCTGACATGATCTACCTGCAATACTGTGCCTTCTAGCACCAACTGATTCACTGAGACCCAAACCACTGACTCTGAGTGAAATCATTGACAAATGCAGTAGCAGTATGAGTAATACTTACTATATTAGCTATCAATGGTGTTAAATTAGCAATATTAATCTGAGACCTACCTGGTACATTACTGGGCAGTAGTACTCATTTTCGGGGAGGGGGGTTAAAAAGGAAGCTTTACTTATCTCAATGATGGTGACAGTATGGTGCAAATACTCCAGTAGTCTTAGTCGTATTAAAACTTTGCAATAAATTCAATCATTATATTCCCCAAATACAGTTAATGGAAAAATGGTTCGAATTCTGGCCAATGGTGATATAGTACAGGACGATGACCCAAGGGCACGTAGCTCTACAGGTAGACAACGAGATACGCAATCAAACCGACCTCGACAGGTTAGTATAATATTTGTTGTATATAATGAAACTATAATGTCAGCCAAGCTTATTCTTGTGACTTAAATCATAGATTTCTGTTTTATTATTGTGTGTTAACTATATGTACCTATTTTGCTGGTACAAGGTATCATTCAGTCAGTGCTTAGGCCAAAGTTGATAAAATTGCCTTGGCATTATAGGAATACTGCAATACAAGAAATATCAAAGAGCACAAAAACAAACTCTTTGGGCATCAAGGCGAAAAATCATTTGCAGGTTTATGTGTCACATGATAAGTTTGTTTGACTGCATCTCAATTATCCGCCATGTTGTCACCATGGTTCATGGTTGGCTATTAAAGACGACTAAGTTAATCCTCCAAGTATTCATTAGAGATAACAAGTGTTCACAAGTAAACGTCCAACTCATAAAATGTGCAAGCCCTGGTCTAGTTTTGACACATATTGAATTTTGAAATGTCATACATGTATGTGAATTGTTGTTTTCAAGCCATCATGGATATTAAGTACTAGCACTTAAAGTAAGGGACAACATCAAAAGTTCAATGTAGGATAAAAAACTTAATTCCTTTAGTTTTTTCCCAAACTCCCCTACCCCCCACTGAAACTTAATTGATAAATATTTACCATGGCAACAGACTACATTCATCATTAAATACAAATTGATAATCGGACAGTAGTATGGCATAGCAGTTGGTTGTCGGGAGTGTGTGTAAAAAGATTTTACACTTGGACCAAACCATTTTCTCGTCTTGGATGTGTTTTTTTTTCATTTTCTGTTATTTGTGTCCATGATTGGATAGAAAAAACAAACAAATACAAATACTCTAAAAAATTTTTTACTTCATTAAAAAATAAAATCGTTTTTGTAGGATGGAAACTTTTTGAGGTCAAAACCCCCACCCCCAAACTAAAGCAAATAAGTTTTTTATCCGACATCGATCTTTTGACGTTGTCCCTAAACTAGTCTAAATCGATGCACTTAACAGTGTCAAATTTGTATTGTTTATTATGGTTGTCTTTAGAGAAAAATACTATTTTATATAATATGAGGGAATGTCATCAGCCTTTTATCTGAAGATTCACAACAATTGGCATGTGGCTTAATATTTTTTTTAGTTCCCGTTCGGACGCAGTCCGAAAACGGGGACTTATGTTTTGATCTCTGTGTGTCCGTGTGTGTGTCTGTGCGTGCGTCCGGACCTGTATCTTAGAAATGCCTGGACCAATAACAATCAAACTTCACACATACATTATACATGATATTATACATATGCACGTCAATTTGTTTCACGATCTGATTCAAGATGGCCGAATGGCGGCCATTTTTGTGCTAAAAATCATCAAAATCAAGCATTTCTCGGCTGTTTACAGATGGATTATGTACAAACTTGGTATATACATTAGACATTATAGGACCTTGATGCACATCATTTTGTTTTACAATCTAATTCAAGATGGCCAACTGGCGGCCATTTTTGTGCTAAAAAATCAACCATTTCTCGACTGTTTACAGATGGATTTTGTTCAAACTTGGTATATACATTAGACATTATGGGACCTTGATGCTATTAATTTTGTTTTTCAGATAAGATTCAAAATGGCCGACTAGCGGCCATTTTGTATTAATGAATGAGGTTCTCGTGCCATATCTCTGACTTGCTTTCACTGATTATGTTCAGATTTTAAATATTCATTATATATCATGTCATAGATAGACAGATATATTGGTTTGACGATCCTATTCAAAATGGCCAAATGGTGGCCTTTTTTGTGCTAAACAATCATTAAATATCAAGCGTTTCTGGCATTTATGGATGGATTTCGTTCAAACTTGGTACATATATTAGCATTAAAGGTTCCTGATGCACATCATTTATTTTTCAGATCGGATTCAAAATTGCTGTCTGGCGGCCATTTTGTTTTAATGAATGGGCTTCTAGACCCATATCTCCGACTTGTTTTGACTGATAATATTTTCAGATTTTAAATATTCATTATACATCATGTCATAGATAGACAGATATATTGGTTTGACGATCCTATTCAAAATAACAAATGGTGGCCTTTTTTGTGCTAAACAATCATTAAATATCAAGCGTTTCTGGCATTTATGGATGGATTTCGTTCAAACTTGGTACATATATTAGACATTAAAGGTTCCTGATGCACATCATTTATTTTTCAGATTGGATTCAAAATGGCTGTCTGGCGGCCATTTTGTTTTAATGATTGGGCTTCTAGACCCATATCTCCGACTTGTTTTGACTGATAATATTTTCAAATTTTAAATATTCATTATACCATCATGTCATAGATAAACAGATATATTGGTTTGACTATCCTATTCAAAATGGCCGAATGGTGGTCATTTTTGTGCTAAAAAATCATCAAATATCAAGCATTCATGGGTGGATTTCCTGATGCTCGTCATTTTATTTATCAGATTGGATTCAAAATGGCTGACTGGCAGCCATTTTGTTTTAATGATTGGGCTTCTAGAGCCATATCTCTTAAATGCTTTGACTTATTATATTTAAATTTTATATATTCGTTATACATCATCAATGGCTGATTTTGAATGCTGTTCCAGAGCAATATCTCTCAATATGAACAAGTACTTGTTTGACGATCAGATACAAATGTCAATCATTTTAATGTTAAAAAATCATATTCCTGACATGGTTATATTCCAGCTAATTACTATAAACAAAACTATATATCTTAAATTTGATAACTAACGGGGACTGTGCCATCCATGGCTTGTTTTTTATTATTTTGTTAAGGGTTATGTGCAGCATGAAGATCACAATCAATATGGTGGAGGGGGACAACAAGTATCAATTATAGATGTGGGAAATCAGAAACTCCTAGATGCTGGTTTCCCCCGATGGAACCTTGGACCATATGTTGTAGAACCAATAGCTACTGTAGGAATGCTCTTGGCCATGATGTTTTTCGGTTTACAGGGACTATTGTTTGCAGGACTACTTTTCTTTGCGGTTAAATGGAGTCAACAAACTCAAGGACGGAGGCAGTGATCTTTGAAGAATGTCATCACATCTTGTGTATATGACAGGTGTTTTAAAGTTCAATGTGCAATTTTTAAATAGTATTGATTATTGGATGGAAAAAATATCACTTTTAGGACTTCTTCATCAGTTTTATATAATATATTATTACTGGAATTCTGTGTGTGCATTAAAGTTGTATTGTCAGTAATATTTTGTTGAAAGACCTTGAGTAACTTCGGTCCCAAAGTAAAATCTGAATATCATGGTGTTCACAGGATTGAAACCACAGTTTATCTACTAAGTTTCATGCTGAGGCCAGGAAAAAAAAATAAACCTGTTTCTAGAATTTGCAAATGAGGCAGCGAGGAGATTTTTGTTGTTGACATGGTTTGAAAGAGGTGTAACACAAGATAGTTATTGAAATTTTAATTGAAATGAGGCATTTTCGTGTCAGTGGTGATGGCCCAGAAACTGGCATTTTGTATACAATGTACCTACATACATATTTTTAGGGGACAGCGCTATAAAAACAACAAACAGATGGTCTAAACACAATTGACCTAGGAAGGACATAATTTCAATGTTCAAATTACTCTAGGTCACATAAATAAAAGCGTCAAATTGTGAAGGGCTGCACATGAAACAACTCAAGAGTCTGGTTCGTGTCACAAACCAATTTTTAAAGTAATAAGTTTCATCCAATTTTGATTTTGTGATATGTCCATCTTCAAATCCTGCATGTGCTGTGGTGTAATAGTCTACATACCGTATATGTAAATACATTTTTTGGCTATTGGTAAAAGATTTCTGACCCTGATGTCTTGTGAAAACCATAAATGTGGCATTTATCTCTGACATGTATTACTTAACATGTCAAATGCTTCAAACGAAATATGGGTGACAATACATTTTTAACACATTGGAGGCCACTGTCATACACTAATTGCAAATTGGTTATCCATAGAGCCTTTTAACAGGCGATGTTTTAATTAAGGACAGCATACAGCATTGCAATAAAAAAAAAAAAAAAAACACTATTGACATCATGATGCATTAAAAATTCAATTTTGTTAAGCGAAATGATGCAAATAAAGGCTTCTTAAACTATGTATTTTGCACTGTATGCCAATTTTTGCTATGTTATATAGTCAATATCAGATTTTTCACAAAAAAAGTAATAATAAATTTATTAGTTTTTAAAGTACAAAACTGCAGTTTTTAGGAAGCACTTGTTTGCAGTGAATATAACAACTATACCCTAACAAATTCAGTATATCTATGCAGTCAATACATGACCTTAGATTACATTTTCTATTTCTGCCATAGAGGGCATACTTTCATTTGATAAAGTCAAAAGTTGATGCAATCTGACATGTGATGACATAAAAAAAAATTTATTTCCTTTTTGAATTCTAAAAATAGATACAAGTAATCATTGAAATGATGAGAATTAATTACAATTGTAAATAGTGTAAACAATTTCCTGAAAGATTTAATGCATGATTATGTGAAAAATATGGTTGATGAATACTACTGTTGTCTTAAGGTAGAATGATACCATGCTGATCGCATCCTGGAACAGTGAGCACGCACACACACACACACACATATACATATATATATATATGTGTTACGTCCAAATCATTGGCATTTGTGAATGATAGTAGGGCAATGATAAGTTTTAGCATTGTTTTGAAGAGCCCAGCTGCCTTTATCTGTTTTCTCTACTTCGCTACTGAAAAACAGAAGGGGGCAGGGGGTAGATTTTGAGGTTTCAATTTTATTAAAACGGTGGTATATACATGTGTATTCTTTGCCTGCTTTCTTTCTATTCTTCCGTTGGTTCTCTCAACAAAATTCTAGAATTGTTGTCTAGTTTTTGCTCATTGCTCTAAATAGCACATTGAAAAAACAAACTGTCATCTAGTGTTTTGGAAAATTATCATATTCAAATTAGCAGCATGCTATTTTTATCAGCCAATCAGTGTCACTTCCCCCACTGAGTGCACAGGCAAAATCTAGGCAATTTCAGACTGATGTGCAAGAGAACACACAATACAATAGGAAAGTAACCAGGCTACCATATTCTGCATGAACATCCAAGAAATCTTGATTGTGAATGTAATTAAATTTCTTATAAACAATTCCTTAACTTTTGAACCTGCTGAAACATTGACTGTATCTCCACACAAAAAGGACAATGTGCAAGTAATATTTATATTCCATCTACAATCTTTTATGGCCAGTTTTTAACACTTTACTGTATTTTTGTAAAGTACAAACAATGCTAAAATAAAGATATATAGACATAGGATATTGTTGTTGTAAATTTTCTTTACGCTGAGTTAACTTTGTACTTTCAAATTTCAGTATGTGAACTCTGACATTTGTTCTCGTTGTATAGAAGTGTTTGTGATCTGATATGAACATGTTTTCATCAACAATATTGTTTGCTGTATGACATTGATGTATCACGGTAAAAAATATAACAAAGTTTAATATTAATTAAAAATATTAATTATGATACTTTGCAGTTCCAATTTAGTTTTTACACAATTGATATTTAAAATACCGGTAAATGTGATGTAAAACAGATTTGACATAAAGCTAATGTGAATTTTTCTCCAACTTCACACCTATTACAGTGGCACAGTTGAAAGCTTCAAAATTACCTTGTTGGACTTTGGATACTGAGTGGGTGGACATGGAAGCTAGAAGCCTGCCGTGTGAGGGTGTAGTCACATAAATTTTTTTTCAAATTGACACATAATTGGCTCTTTGCAGCACAGATTCATGTAAAAGCTGAATGCAAGCTGGAAAAACTAAGGAGTCATTGACATAACTTGAGAAAGGGGTGGCCACCAGAGGGCACTAACACATTCCAATTTTGCTACTTCCTGATTTTCTTGGAATCTGCCGTCACACCATAAAATACATAATGTTGGCTGTCAATTTTGGTGGAAATACTCAAAATCAGTGAATTTGAATGAAATTTGTATAGAGTTACTATAGAGCATTATTAGTTTTTGTTATTGACTATGTTAAATTACTACATTGAGCACATTTTCCACTGATATCTCAAGAACCACTCTGCAGATTTCTATAAAACATTGTACATACATGCTTCAGGAATAGGCCACATACGTGTTTAGTTTGTTGAATTTCATGCTAATTACTGTAAAATACTAGTACCGGTACTTTATTTTAGCTTGGATTAATTTTCGCTGCAAAGATTTTTTGGGTGTTTTGTATGGAATTTATTTTCACTGATTTTTGGCAAGTTTAATGTAAAATATGGATAAAAAGGTATATTCACTGAATATTATTTATTTAATCATCACTTCAGCAAAAATAGCAAAAATTAATTCCAAGTGAAAAGTACTTTACAGTACTTAATTTGCATAAATTTACCACAGATACCTACAATACCACTCATCAAATTTAAATGAAACTTTTGAATAATCCAAAGACCTGATTATATCTCGAGCACTGTTGCAGATAGGACAATGGGATCAGTGTGATATTGAAAGCAAGGGACAAGAAATATGATTAACATATCAGATGACCTCAAAATATGCATAACTGTAGTATCTTTGCAGTTAGTGATATGCAACTAATGCTATTCATAAATTCATAAATGAATGCATCGGCAAAAGATACAACTAACATGTCAAATGACATAATTATGCATAACTAATATCTCAAATACTGTTACAGACATGCAACCAGTACTATCATGCTGTCAGACAAGATATATGAATATTAAGTATATACATGATATTTATAATTATACCATAGCCAACGGTAACCACCCGGATCACTGCTTGCAGTTATATTTGTGACTATTTGCTCTGATCAAAGCACATGTACTTAAAGGCCCAATTCACTTGCCCGGCAAGTGTGAATTGGAGGTGTGGCTATGCTAATGAGTGGTGTTAATGACTCGCATAGCCTATGACGCATCCTGTTTCAGCAGACCAACATCACGCGACTTTGATTGACAGTAGTAATTATTCAAGATTAGTCACGCGTCCCTTTCCCCGGTTCATGTTTTTTACTTTTATCCGCCAAAATCTCAGCTCGTACACTATTTATAAATACTACACACAGTCACTGCTGTGATATTCATAGTCACATGCGTTTTTACCGGAGCTTGGCTGGAGCTGTTTACTACAGCGTGACAAGCAAAGAAATAATCTCTATTGTTTAGGAGCGTATTTATAGTATACCTGGGCTTTTAAATGTAAATGACAAGAATTGATTCTATGGTAAAAAAAAAAAACGTATATCAATGATTTTGCATGCAGTTTTTGTTTATCTGTACTTCTATTGGAGATGTGCTTCTAATAGAGTAAATACGGTGTCCTTTGTTTTGTACGTCATTCCTCCAATACCTTCAGCACACAGGAGTTTCTTTCAATGGTTTATTTAATTTTTTCGTAGAACCAAATGCACAAAATATTATGATACATTGCCGAGATGGCTATGTGCATTCAAACAGTATATAGCTAGGAAATTCCCATGCGCAGCTGGAAAATTCTCTAACAAAATTTATTCTACCTTCACAGGACTCTGGGGAACAGTTAGTAAAGAATACAACAAGAACACAGTAACCAAGTCGAATCAACCGTTTATTTACAAGTTTCTAATAAATTATACAAGAATTAATAACACAGTATGAAAGCATACACCATATTAAGACAGTAAACAAAAAGGAAAAGACCCAATCAGTGGAACACCACGTTCAGTTTAAATCTTTAAAAAATCTATCTTTTTATTACTAACCCTTACCCCCTATTTTTACAAATGGTTTAACCCAATAAGCAAGTCAACCAATTATTCAGCTTGATTTTCCTCAACTTTCAATAATTGTTTGTTATGAAGAAAGTTGCATTGGTAGCTTGTTTCAGCAGTCTGAAACCCACTCTCGAAATTCTATGTACACAAGAAAATGTAAAAGAGATACTTTTGTTACCAGGTAGTTTCACTATATCTAATTTAGTTGGATTATGACTATGTACTAAAGCATATCATTATAAACTACTAATCCTTGACACATTCTTTGATTTATTGCTGTAATCGTGAAAGCGCTGAAATGTACGCCTTCAGTTTATCTTGTATTCATCTTTCTCTGTCTATTATTACTAGAGTAGACATTTTTATCATCGTATATACTCCAATTGATTAAAAAAAAAAAAAGATTGCGCAGTTTTATTCCTATTGAATTTTAACTTTACGTTTATGCACTCAGAGATGGCGATATACAGTATAGTAAAAAGTTGAGAAAGATTTGGAAATATTCTATTATTAATAATATTTCATTATCAAGATTTGTTTTGAATAACATTAAATAATCGTTTGAGAGATTGAAACAGTACAATTTCTGTTCAAAGCATAATTATTTCAAATTTTGTAAATAAAAAAAAAAAGTACACAAAATAAAAATCATTTATAGCAAAGACTGGAACAAAATCATTTCTGAAGGGTTACATAGAAAATAAAAAAACAAATGCATTTCATAAAATCACTTAAAAACCTGACTGGAAACTGACTCTTTGTTTGGACAATTTGTTAATTCATTAAAAAGCAGACAGTTCACAACCCAGTGCTGGTCCATTTAATCGCTTCAAAGCCGCCATTTTTCCCACCAAGATTTGTGTACGACATTACGTAAATTTCTATATTTTTTTTAATACAATTTGTATCAAATAAACGTAATTTCTTAGTAGGCTCTGATGAACATTTTTGAAAACAAATAAGGGGAAAAAATGATTTGGATGGTGAGAAAAATCGACTTTGGCTTTGAAAGGGTCATGTCTATCTAAGTTTTCTTTCATGTAAATTACATTTTTCTGTAACATAAATACAACGGATACAACATGTCAGTATTTTCAAATTGTTGTTGCATCTACCTAAAATAAAACTATAATATTTAATTAAAATAACATTTGAGTACTGTCTCTGTCAAAAATTAGTTTTTTGCATATTTTCCGTTTTTTAAGTTAATTATGAGCCAAAATGAACGGATTTGATATTTTGTATAGGACTTATGTAAAAGTAAACATTATGAATGTTTGAAATGTTGCAGTACACCAAGGTATTGCAAAATAACCAAAGCCAATTGTACAACACAAATACAAGAACTAAAAGAACATTTTTTGTTTTTTTTTCTTCGCAATCATGAAAAAGAAAACCCAGTAGTTTGGTCCAAAAAACAGAGCATCAACCATGGGAGGGAGAAAACATTTCTGGGAAAGACCAACCATATTTGTAGGTAACAATAAAACAAACTTGTATGTCAACAAGCTATGACAAATGGGATGTTACAAACAAATGCTTACGTGTAAATATCGATAGTTGTCAAAATTGATGTGATACACACGAAAAATAACAAACGTAACAAACAAAATCTACATCCGATATACAAAGTAAAATATTAAATATGGACAAAGAAAAAAATAGTACAAGATGCGTCTTCAACAAAAACATGGATAAAAATAAGTTAGTGTGCCCTCTAGAGACAAATATTGCCCTCAGTGGTACAAAAATTAAAAACAGGTTATACTTCTAAACAAGAGTTCACCTGTGATGTAATTGAGCAAACATGATACAAAGAAAGTGCACGACATCAAAATAGTGATAGAACCATAACAAAAATGAGGTGACAGAAACACTGACTAGTATTCATGATGTGAAAGAGGAAAAATACTGAAAAGAGGATTAGAAGAATTAATGGTATTCTTAAAGTTTTACATCTATGGACTGTAATATGTAATTCCTTCATGTTGGCATCCAGTCTGCCAATTATTAATGAACTTTATTTTAAATATTCAAAAAATATTGTTAGAATCTGAAAATTACACTTATTGTACATAATATCTACAATTTATTAAATTTTGTCAATCTGGTGTTAATCGTACAGAAATTGCATAGCAAAAATTATCAAGTGTCTTGTTTTAAAATCATTTAAAAACCCAATTATTATTATTGTTAATAATACAAAAAAAAAAAAAAAAACTTGATTAAAGCAGAAAACTTGTACTTTGGAATATTTTAGTATTAAACTGTTATCTTTATAGACAGCATAGATAAGAGCCTTCAAGGCAGTGTGTACATTCCTAAGGGTTTTGTCAGGTTTGGAAATTGAGTTTGTATTTCACGTCTCGCAATTGGCTGTTGAACTTGTGAAGTCATCACATTTACATACATGTGTTTTTCTGGCAAAAATAAAATATATATGTATGGCTAGCAACTGCCCTTAAAATTTACGCTTAAAAAAGTTAGGAGAGACATTCAATGTCAAAACTGTTACCTGGGTTTATTTTTATTATTATTTAAAACTAGGTTAAGATCATCATCGAAAATCAGGTTTAGAGTCATTTAAAGCTAACATAAAGAGCTGAACTGTAACCATAGTTACACTTTCACAAGGAGTGCAAAACTCACTATGACTCCCTAGCTGACTCACAATAACTACACAAATCATGACACAACCTATTCAGTCTAATTCTTTATCAGCAAAGAAAACCGGGTACTAACGATTGAAGACCTCAACTATGCTGTCTAAAATACTATCAAATTATTTCTAGTTTTTAGACGGAACACCACTTACAAATGATATCAGAACAAGCTTTATATTTTAAGTACAAGAACCATTTTAACAATTTAAATATCTACGATCTTCTGCGTGGCTGATCGCCAATTTCAGACCGCATCACCATGTTTCGCCATCAGGTATACTAAAAGGGGAAGAGTTGAACTCGTGCATTCTTTTGTTGTCCCTTCTTTAGAATACCTGTTGGCAAAAAGGGTGAAAACGATCTTACTTTTGATGAGCCCTCATCACATGCTGAACTTCTTGATTTCTCTCTAGTGGTGTGTTTGAGGAATATGGTAGGATTTCATGTCAAAGTAAACATTTCACTTACATTGCTGTCACTGACCGTTAAGATGAGATGACAGACCATGCAAGTGTGATGTCATACTTTGATTGAAGGGAGGGGGGAGGTTCACCAAGATTTAGTTTCATATCGTTAGATTTCAACACTCAATGGTATGACAAATACCATTGTCAAGAGGCAAACCTAATAACAGAAAATAAATCTTTTCATTCGCTAATTAACCAAATTTTAAAATAAGTCTAATATTTCACCCAAACTAACCCACATGCCACACCGTCTGCTAAAGTCCCACACTGTTATAACTACCACCCTTATGAGCTTTACTTTTAAAACTCCTGGATTTGTTTTTTAAAAATAAAAACATTAACAATTACATCACAAAAACAGATCCGCTTAATAGCTGGAAATAAATAACAGCAGTTGAAAACAGATTTTGATTATCGAAAAAATAATTTAACAAAATCAAATAATTATGTTGTTTCACTATGTAACAAGTGATCTCATTGGCCAATTAGATGGTCTTAGTAGCCAATCAGTTCTCGCCTCTGTTTTATTCTTGATAATTTTACACCAGCCAGCTGTTTTCTGCACTTAGAATTCTTTGTTTTGTAATAACAAACACCACTCAATTTCAGTTATATTCGCATGCTGTGCAAACATGCAATGCATCTGTTTTGCATCTAAATTACAAACAAGCAGTGTTCAAAAAATGGTGCTTTCAATCCATGCATGCGACCAGATACAAGACAATAAAAGACTGCTTGTGTTTCAACACCTGCACGCATCGTGCATAAACGCATCTGAAGACTGTACAGAGTGAATTTATCACAAAACAGATGAAGAAACTTTAGTTGACAGAGACAGATAAGATTCTTTGCTTAAAATGGAAGCCTTTAAAATTCACTTGCAGTTTTTCTTACTATGCGCTCCTTTACATCTATTCCCACCAACAAGACCCAACAACAGGAAACTCAACCAGACAGTTTACCATACATAACAGACATGAAACAAAAAAAGATGAAAAGAATATTAGCAGACATTGAGGACATTAGCAGACCAGTAAAAAACTGGTTATATGGAGGAAGGAAGTTGGGAGGGAGAAATGATAGACAGTGGGATGAAAGAAGGGAGGAGTGGGCGGGTAAATATACCACAAACATGGCAGTGTCGACAATAAGATGACCAGTTCACACATATGATTCAGGTAGATCAGCCACACAGTCGTGCCATCAACAGAGTGTTTCATCCCAATCGTCTGCGTTTCTGTTATCGGGTAAATGCGCATCTGTGTACCTATCTCCGTTTTCTCGAACATCACCATCACGGTCGTCGTCCCGCTGCTTCCTTCTCGTAGGGCGTCTCGGATAAGAACTTTCTTTTGCGGGGTCAAACTGCATCAAGCAGAAAATCATGTCTGTTGGCATCAGTAGGAATTCATATAATGGGTTAGTGATAACGTAACGTTTGGACGATGGAGTAGCAGTGGTTGCGGTGGTATCTCGGAATCTGTAAATGCCAAAGCACAACATGCCGTATTTTCTCAAGGCGTATTCATACAAGTCTCCAAATTGCCCACCATTCTAGAAAAGAAAAGACATGGGTGGTTATTTTCATTTTTCTATAGGCTTTCACATCATCATGTATTAAATTAATTTATTTCCAGTTGTGCTAACCAGCAAGCTGATAAAAGATGTTGCTCACAGATCAACACTATACATGTATCTCCCGCCCGATCTGCTGTGAAAACATTACTCAAAAGTAGTGACACATACTATATTTTGAAACAGTAGTGGCAAACAACGCCATTATTTTACCATGTGGCGCAGTGCAAATGACTGGCTCTCACTGACCAGTTACAATGTACATGCACAAAATCTAAAGTGTTACAAACATTGAGCATATTTAATATTACTGTGCATTACCGGTATCAAACATGTTTACAAGCAGGGTTTCATACTCACTGAAAACTGTGATAGTGGTCCGTCGTATACCGGTAACTGGGCTACTTTACAACGGTTTCTATTGGCAAGAAGTTGTGGGGTTGTGTAACCACCCCTCATACCAGCTCCCTCCGCTAGAATCTGCTCCAATTCAGGAGTAGCTCCCCCTGTGATGAGTGTACGGATCAACGTCAATGCATTGTCATTGAAATATGTCTGCGAAAAAAAAAAAGATGCTTGCAGTGCATGTAGGAATTTTGTGTAAACGAACAATGTATACATGTGTTACATTAGTTGAATTGGACCCCATATCGAATACTATGAAGTGGTACTTATTTTTTGCAAAATGTCAGGCCTAACCTAGAACAGTAAACCTCACGTCAATGGAAACGCCATCGCATGATATGCATGGAAGGAAAGAACTAGAATTGGCACTCTGGATGTTGCATGATGTCCATAGCTCCTATAATTACCCATTACGCTCACACACGTCACTCATTATTAATCAAACCATAAAGCACCCTCTCGTCACCATACTTACTGCACTCATGAGGGAATCTAGTACGCTAACAGCAAATGCTGTACCGCATGCAAACGGTTGCGTAACATAGAGCTCCGTGTCTGGATCATCATCATCATCTTGATCCAAGAATTGCACATTAGAATCATTTACTGGAAAAGGGAAATATAATTAATTGTTAGATATGATAAAATGCTACAACTGTCAACAAAACTGATTACCGGTATATATATACTAAGTAAAAAAACACTGCCTTCAATGGTAGAATCAGTCAAGTTTGAACAAATTATGTACTTTGCATAGAACGTCATGCAATATACATCAGGTACACATATATCTGTTTTAAATTAATATCAATGTCTCATTGGCGTAGAAAATTGAAATTTCATGTATATCGTGGAATTACTATACTCACACTTTCAATTACGTCACATAATAGCTCTAAAAAATGACAAAAAGTAATTTGTAACTTTAATTTAGTTATACACACCTAGTTCTGTAATCATAGGCACATTGGCTCCTACAGCTGATCCTCTCCTAGATAGACTCTTGGCACTACCGCCCATCATAGGGGAAAAGCCCTGTGGCATGAATCCTGAAATTACGAGCATAAAATTACAATAATTCAGTATATCAACTAAAATGAGAGCTATACCCTTAGGGACGACGTCAAAAGATCGATGTCGGATAAAAAACTTATTTCCTTTAGTTTGGGGGTGGGGGGTTTTGACCTCAAAAAGTTTCCATCCTACAAAAACGATTTTATTTTTTAATGAAGTCAAAAAAATCTTGGAGTATTTGTAGTTCTATCCAATCATGGACAGAACTAACCGAAAAGGGGAAAAAACAGAAAAATGGTTTGGTTGGAGTGTAAATCTGTGCGTCAAATGAGGTGCATTTGTAAACTCTTTCTACACCCACCCGACAACCAACTGCTATGCAATACTACTGTCTGATTATCAATTTGTATTTAATGGTGAATGGTGAATGTAGTCTGACGCCATGACCAATATTTGTCAATTAAGTTTCAGTAGGGGGTAGGGGGGTTTGAAAAAAACTAAAGGAATTAAGTTTTTTATCCGACATCGATATTTTGACGTCATCCCTTATTTTATTATTGTTATCATAATATCTATACTACAATTAATGCATTTAATGAAATAATTTTCATTTATGGGGAAAATATAGATAGGAATGCTATATTTCAAATAAGCTGACATATCTTGTTAGTGAAATATTTGTAATTCATACACTCCAAGACTCAATATTATGAAATAACATTAAGGTTAGGATATCAGTTTGTAAGTTTATTTGAAAAGTAACTGCCGTTGATTCTAAGCATATAAGCAAGGCAGAATTTGAAACATTGAAAAGGCATGTCAACAAAGAAGCTGCTCTCTGATTGGTCTGATTGTTAACATAATGCTATTCTAATATCCAATCAATGACCTCAAGTTTTCTTTTCCCAGATTCCACTTTCAAACACCTCTATAAGCCGGTTGTTTTATAGTGTCGTAGATTTCCTGAGGCAAGTTTTTCAAATGCAAATTATACTATACATAATGAAAGTTACACTGTCAAATATAGTAAATCCAGGTGTATATTAAAAAAAAAAAAAGATGGTAGCAAGATTTCAGGAAGCAAATCGCACACCATGATGATGAATCTGGTGGGAGCACTCGCAAAATTGCTCTTTTTCTATAATCTTAATGCACGGAGCACTGTATTTTTTTTCTGGTCTAAAAGGGGTAAAAAAAAGCATATCAACAGATACGCCAGTCTTAAAAATAATTGTCAAATCAAAGTGTTGATCTAAACTGTGAGCGTCAATACGTTCACCGGTATTTTTCAAATCAGATAATTATGGTGTACATAGGATGTTAGCTCGCATCTGATAACATTTGTATACATGTATATAGGCATTGTAGGCATTTTTCCCATTAAAATTATATTCCCCATGATGCACTGGTACAATCCCAGGGATGGCAGAGCTGCAGTTCAACATGATCAGATCATGCTCAGCAGTTTTATAAAAAAGCATCAGCCATTGGTTAGTGTGAGTGTCAGAAGCTGGATCTCTAATGGGTGGATTTACACTTATGACACTATAAACTGACTGATGATAAGAATAACGAAAATTTTAAGCGCGGTAGTCATCGCATGTGCGACATTTGTGTTGATAAACATTGATTTTCCCACAATCCAATGCGTTCTTCAAATGGAAATCACAAGTATGAGGTTTGACCTGGGCGCGACTTGCACTGATTACCGATGGTGACTCTTTCGATACCTTCCAATCACATGAAAATTGATGAATTAAAGCTTGGAAACGTCTCAGTTTGTACTCGTTGATCTGCGCAACAGTCAAAGTCGCCATCTTTGTTTATATGAGACTACCGAGCTTTAACATTGTTTGATATCAAAAAACATCAAATTATTGACCAATCCTAAATTTGGTGCATGTACATCTATAACTATCTCTAAATTTAAAAGTGAAATTATGCTTGATCTAATTAAAAGTTTTTCAGAAAAAATAAATAACTGTATAAGGAAAAGGACAACAAACAGTTAAACATTGGCCCAAAATAGTTGAAACTCTGTAATAACATCAATGCCATATGGATAGGTGGAAACATTGATGTGACAACACTTTCTCATCAGCACTGCAAACCCAATGTAAATTACCAGCATGCATGAGATCAAGATAAAACCATTCTGTATTGTCTCACCAATGTTCATGCCATGCTTGCTAACCACATGACGACTAACTTCAGAATCTTTCCCAAGTGATGAAGACAAGAATTTGAAGAAATTATTTAACATCATTTTTTGGAATTGCCTACAAACTAAATAGCTTCTTCTCACTTATTGGATCCAAACTCCTTCACTAGATTTATTGTTTTATTATATCAATGAAAAAGATCAAGCAACTAATGTACAGTGGCTTGCATTACATTGTATTGTATTCTAAAATGACCCTGTTACAAACCAATATTTAAATACAATCTGTACGAAACAGAAATTATGCATCATGTTCTATATCTATTCCAAATATGGAAAACAATGAATATTCATTATTTGGCCCTACAATGAATAGCCAATCAAATAATCTCAATTCTGTATTTTCATTATGGAAAACCTGAACATGAGAGTACCATCTATTATTTTAACGTATGCCAAAATAATGGTACTTTAAATCACACCAAAAACTACAGACTTTCCACAGCCTATGCAAACATAGATCTAAAACCTAACTTGGCTGCATTTTCAAAAATGACAGTCATTCAACCAATCATCATCAGACCCCACTCTGAATCTAATTTGCATATAACCAATGGTTGGATGGATATGAACAGCAGAGAAAAGAAACGGACACATGCAGAATTATAAGATGCAGGCACAGCAAAAGAAAGCAATAAGGGCAAAAGAATCGGGAGTTGTACCTTCCACATCAATAGAATCAAGATCAATATCAATAAGAGGAATATCTAAAAAATAATACAGGAAAAAGAAATAGACAAAAGAAGATTTTACATTATGCAAATACATAAAGTAAGTGTGTATTTCATGCATAGCGCAAGATAAACTATAATCGTCTAAATGCTGCAACAAGTGTGTTGTGTAGCGCACTCTGGTGGTGGTGCACTTGGTTACTTTGTGAGCAGCACTCTCTAGTGGCATATTTATTGGTTACTTTGTTTGTTACAATGCAGTATACATGTGGTTGAGTAGGATGGGTACAAAGTGAGTTTATAACATTTCTGGGAATGACACGTGTGATTTATCTGTGGTCCATCGCATAAATTATTATTAGTCTGTGTACCAGTCTGATGGGCTGTAACACAATATTTGTAACATATCAGAGGTACATATCTCTCTGCTCGTCTCAATTTTTCATTGGTGGTTTACACAGTTGCTGCCACAAATATGAAATATTTGTTTTACTTATTTTACAGCTTTGAGAGACATAAAAAGTTATTCATAATAATAAAAAAAATACACTGATCAGACAAATATTATCAGAAATTAAAATGATATATAACATATCATAAAACCTATCAAATTTGGTACTAAATGTCAGCTGTGGCAGGGACTGAGCAAGGATTCCATGAACACTACAGCAGTGACAAACTCAGTTGATATTTGGAGAATGTCACATGGCCAATGTATGAAACCACTCATCCATAACAGGGGTAAATATCAATCCCTGCAATGGTAAACTGCATTGAGTGATTTACATGTACTGAGATGGCTTAGATGTTACTACGGTTACAGACAGTTAACTATTGGCAAATGTGATGCAGGGCACTCCCTCACCACCAGCAATCAGTCAGACATGCAAGGTTATACAGTCATTCTCTCTACCATGAAAGTTTTTATGAACATACATGTAGCTCTGTGTCATACATCCCAATACTCTACTGCTGTTTAGTATGCAAATATAAACACATGCATGCATATTTATATATATGTAAATGAGCAAAGTCATGTGACCATAATTCCTGCATGTGATTGCAAGAAAGCATGCACACCCTTATGAACAGTGTATTTACTATATTTAGAAGTGCATCCATATGTAAGCTGAACATGCAACATTTTTCCTTGTTTTTCTATAATCTCTTTGTTACTTTTAGACTAAATGGACATAGTTTCTCATTGATTAAAAATTTTCAAAAAGTCTTTGAAAGAAAAACTTGGCTTTAAGGAGTTTAAACACTCATCTGTTTATACATAATGTTTAGTGTGCATATTTTAATAAACATGTACTTTGACCTTAATTTCAAATTTATAATTTCCAGATATCACAAATTCATTTTACTCTGATATGCATATATAATTGTTGTATACTGGTATATATAGATATATACTTATAGGCTACTATTTAAGAGGCCTCTATAGTTAAGGTAACTCTAAGTGATTATCCAGACTTTTAATAACAATGCAGACATGAGCAATTAAATTCATTCTAATATTTTGTCTTCATTAACAGGATCTGCCAATAAAAATGCACACCACTTTTTTAATATTGATTTTATGAAAACAAAGTTAGATATTAGTTTTGTGCTGTTTACTGCATGAAATGAAAAGAAATGTGCGTTATGATGCATGACTATATGAAGAAGAAGAAAATAGTTAAACATCGCAATAGCTTTTACAAGAGGAGATGAAAAGATTTGAAATTCAGTTTGTGATTGAGAATGGAATTGTACGCAGTGATTCAGAATGGTTACCATAAAGAATATGAAAAAGTTACAATGATCTAGTGACAACATGCAGCATGATATAATGTGGCAATTCTTACCACCTTCCATTATCTCAGTGTCATGTACAGCCGAAGCAGTGCGAACAGAATGACTAGTGCTAGCAAGGTGACATGAATTAGTTGCATCAAGCGCTACTCTACTGTTGTTGTTACCGCTTATATCACCTTGTGAGGATGCACGTAGTAAGCCCACGCTCTCGTCGAACGTCATTGCTTTCAGATTTAACGATGCTAAGATTGTCTCTTTGTCTTGGAGGTACGGATCGTCTGCTTTGCCCTGATTAGCTGATAGTATGACACACATATCACATAAGTTAACGTTGACTGAGCGTAGATCAGCCCGACTTAGTGGCGATCCCTGAAAGAAAACATAGCGAAACTATTGATCACATTGCCCATGATTTGTGAACTATAATGTGATTTATGATAAATGTCAAAATCGTTACAAATGCTATGAAATAACTGTTAACTTATCAAAAACAAAAGTATCATTCGTGGGAAGGAAGCGAGGTATTTGTTGGAGATTCACTAGACTTTCAGAGCAAGCCATGTATACATCTTCTGATATACGGTTCTGATTGGTTAAAAAGAGACATGTGATACATTTCATATGTTACTGTAGCATATGAATATCAATCAACACCAACAAGTGCTCAAATAATTAAAAATGTGGCAGAAATGTTTTCTGTGTGATATGACACTTGTTCATTTATACCTTGCTTCTATGCAATATTTGTGAAACAAAATTATTAACGTGTTCTAATTCCATTTTTCTTAGTTCTAATAGTATTCTTGAGATGCTTAAATTAAACCTTCAAATCATACAATCAGACTCCCACAACTTAAATTTAAGCATCATTTAAAAATCATACACACATCTAAAACTCATAGTTGCTGTCGACATAGGAAGTAAAGTAAGCAAATAACACCGAATAAACGGCAAGGTAAAGACTATGTCTAATTATTGTAAACACGTACCTACTGCGTGCGTGACTCGAACCAGTGCTCGCGTATGGCACCTAATCGCCTAATCGCTAACAATATACACACATCTATATTGTTCTCAACACATGTAAACATGTATTGTGATAAATATTGACTTTCCTAAACATTAGACTAACATAGCGGTTTTAGAAAATGACAAGTTAGAATAGAACACACATATTGGTTAAACATACTTACATCAAGAATATGGACTTTTGGAAAATTCCTCAGTGTTTCCCACTCTTTACTGATATATTCTAGACAGCCAACTAAAACTATTTGCTTCAAATCAGTATAATGAAAATTACTTGCACGAAGTGGCATAACTAGATTGCGGAGACCAACAAGCGGTGAATCTTTGTCTCCAAATATACACACTACCACGTGCCCATTCATGATTTTTGAGTGTGCTTGATTACGAGTCTGTGATAAAAAAGAAGATTTTTTTTAAAGTTAATATAAAGTTTCTTAGAACACCATACTGACTCACCCATGATCAAATGCTAGTTGCATGGTGAGTTAATTTTGCATATGAATATTTTTGTTTGTATCAGTTCTGAAGAATGATGCTTTGCAACATTTATTCTACAGAAACAAAATACCAGGGTGTACAAAATCAATCAAAATAGCCAGGATGTTGACCTTTATGAGTAACAAGCCGTCGATTGCACATACCAGTTCTATGACGTGAACTAAAATGTTTTGGCCTGCAAGACAACTGAAAACATGTGAGACTCTAATGTCTACGTTGGCATGAGGTTAAACAAAATGGCTGCCCATCGTTCACCTTGGATTGGATCATTACACAAATTGTTTGTTGAAGTGCTAGAAAAAAAAATTGTCTGTTTACCAAGTTTGAACTTTATTGAACAGTGTGAATTTGAGGTATAAGCAACAATTTTGCCAACAGAATTGAATTGAAAATATCACGAAATGAACAAATCTGAGAGAGATCTACCTGTAGTACCTATATGTTTAAATATGGCAAATATGTGCAAATGTTACCATGGCAGCAAAAAAACTCACCAATACTACATTTTCAATGTCTCTTGATGGACACCAATGAAACATTCCGGTGGAATCAAACCTTTTAGTGTCTTCATCAATTTCCTTTTGCTCCGCAATAGATAAGGCATTCCTTGTACTGGCTGGATAACTACAGGGTCTGTATTGATGTAAGTAACATAACAGCAATCAGGAACAAGTCAAAAAGAGATAATATTATACTATTAATAAATTTAACTCAAGATTTTCTAAAACCCATGATTGCTTGCAGTTTATCTTCATATGATAGACAGTAGAGCCCAGATACAAGATCTCCATTCGTCATTCTCTTAAGAATAATAACAATTTTATCAGAAGTGCTTAAATGACGATAAAAATATCATAATAGAAAAGTTAATTCGTAGATAAATAGCCTAGAGAAGAAGAATTAAAAAGACAGTACGGAGTTTGAATTGTATTAAAAATCAGAAAGTCGGAGACGGGTTATATGCCAGATAGCCCCTGTTGGCAAATACACCTAAAGAAAATATTTGACAAAATTAAGAGTCAACAAGAGATAATACAGATATCCAACACCACAATAGATCCAGAATAACAATTTGTGAGAAAAGTACTGAGCATATAGTTCAATGGAGTGAGGGAAGATTATTTTTTAATTAATTTGATATTTTGTGCTGTCGAGGTATAGTTGTTGAATTGAATGGAAATTTTGTGGACATTTTGAGCCGCCAGGGTCTGTATGTTTAATTGACCAGGCATTTTTAAATTGCTAGAAACTGGCTATTCAAGCTCTTTCGAAATTTGCAAAAAGGCAATTCCAGTTCAGAAATTGTCTGGAGTTATTGAGACTGGTAAAAAGTGTAAAATAATATTATGACACACAGTCAATTTAAAAATAGTATCAAATAGATAAATGTGAAATCGCCTTGATAATTGGTATTACCAAAATCAGCTTAACATCTATACAGTCTTTTCATTTTTCGTGTTTTTTAATTTAATTAAATTGCAAAAAATCAAAAAATTTGTATTCTTTGGAAGTGCCCTTTGCTGACTGATCGTTGTAGTCTGTAGACAGAATAAATCATGTGATAATGAATGCAATTTTTTTTTCAACATTTTCAAAAGTTTACACTTGATCCATCAAGTCCACCGACTATAACATTAGTCGGTCGGCGGGCTGAGAGCCCTTCCGAAGAACACAAGTCATTTGTTTTTATTTCAGGTCACCCAGACTTTTTTTATTCAATACATTTTTTTGCAATCTAATCAAATTAACAACTCAGAAAGCAACATTTTTATTCCAAAACGCAAAAAAAGAAAAGACTGTATGTCGGAACAGAGTGTAATTTATGTAAATATTGACCACGCTGTTAATACACCGAATATGTTAATATAAACAATTGCTCTAAAGTAAAGTAAAGATAAAATAAAGATTAGGCAAGACTGAGAAGAAAAATAAATACATTAGCAGTAAGAATAAAAACAAATAACAAATATATAAGAGAGTTAGAAGATATCAACTGATTAGATCATGAATAAATCTTAGAACACCTTATGTAGTTTAAGTTTGTTTTAAAGCATCTCAGTCACTGCACAGCGTCATATTCAGTCCCATGTGATGAATACAGTGTACGTAAAACATTCAAATACGCACTGTGCAGCAACAATGTTGCTTTAAAGCGCAAGTAGTTAGTTGAAGTTGAGTTCAGTAACAATGTTGAGAAAAAACATTACATTAAGACCCTTTTCTTTCCTACCCATATAAGAGATACAGTTAGAACAGAGAACTATGAAAATAGTTTTTTTTTTTTTTTAATTTACAGTTAGATCACCATTTGACAAGTTTTCTGACTGTAATAATACAAGATATTGAAAAGTGGGAAAATAAATTGGATTATTCTAGAAGCACCAAGCGAAGTGAATAGTACAGTGAGAACAATTTGGTAGAATACCAAGGTGTTATCAAGGTGCATTGTGGGAATTGTTCCCATAATGCTTCCTGATGAACCATAATCTTGAAGATCCACACATGTTCCCACTGGATGTAAAGATTTTTTGCAGATGTATGATCTGGATTTTTAACCCCCACCTACCTGTGAACCAGTGAGAGAGTTAGTATGATATTGAGGAAATGTAAGATTATGAATTAGTACTAGATGACGAAGACATTGACGATGACAATGGAGACAATGACAAATGGAGAACAATTCCCAATTCCAGAACATTTTAGTCAGAGAAAACTTATCCAAAACAAGCAAGTTTGAACAACATGTAAACTGTGATAAAACACATTTTACCCAATCTTGATAAAACACATTTTACCCAATCTATAATGAAATTTCGCTTAAACAATATACTTGGGTTTAACTTTTTGTTGCACTTTGGTTTGAGGATCCATCAATCTTTCGAATTTACAATGATCCAGACTGTTCTATAGGGGTTTGGGCTTATGATAAATGATCAAACAAAATCATTCAATGACTATACCAAAACAAACAGCCAAAAAAAAAAGGATTTGTGCTTCATTAGATTTTACATGTTGTTCATAACTATTCTTACAGACCCACCGATAGGACTTAGGCACTTCCGAAATATGAAGGTGAGGCATCCCTCCAAGACGGGGACGTGTACGAGGAGTACTAAAAAAAAAATAAACAAATTTAAAGGATAATTATTAGTGATACATTTATAAGGATAACAACAAAATATGGATTAATTGTGACGGTATGATGTGCGACGGATTTTTACTGATCTAAAATTATCAAAGGTGTTTGGTGAAGTGATTGGTGTGAAACTGAGACTGTATATTTTTATCCTTATATATGCGGTTGACTGTAAGACAAGTACCCAACCAAATGAAAATGGAACAAAATTATGACGATTTATTATCAATATTTGTGTTGATGTCAACAGAGCTACATTCAAACTATTAAAGGTATTGGAATATATGTTACTCCATTGTTGCGGCATTTATCTAGAATATACAAATCATTCTTGGTACACTGTCTTAAAAGACTACCGCATACAAGTGAAAGTAGAGTCTCAGTCAGCAAAGACTGGTATTCACAAAAAAATTCAAGCAGAAAATAATGTAAATAATAGTCAAGGATAGGGATCAGATGGAGAACGAGAGGGAGGGGAGGGAGGGGAGGGAGACTCACCAATTTTACTATTGTAAGGGGACAACTGAGGGAGTACAACCTCATAACCTTAATAATAAAACTTAATTGTGCTCAGAATCATACTAAATACCATTACATCAGTGACTTCCAAAAACACCATCTTCTACTGCGTAGATGCAATGTCCATCACACATCAATACATAGACACCGACCTTACTCGACTCAAATCCATTTTGAGTACGGTAGTATATACATTAAAAAATACATTTATGTCAACTTCAAAATTGGCATCACAGGAAATTATTCACGGTAAGCAACACTCTGTAGATCTCATGTGGCTGTACTGAGAATTCAGGCTGTAGACAACTACATTCAGAGTAAACACCTTTTTAGGGTCAAGACATTGTTAATTGAGCCTAATTTTCAAGTTCAACTTTCCTGTATACACATACGTAATGCATCTACAGGTGTGAACTGTGGTAATTTATTAAAACTAATAATATGCCCAGTTTTCAATAAATTTATTTAAAATATTTAATTTAATTATTAAAAGCAATTTCTCTGGAATCAAAACCATAAATAGGATTTCATTGCGAAGGATGACATTGTAAAAACAGTGAAGTTGCTTACCTGTGACAATCCCCCTGGTGTCAGTAAGAGATGGCAGAGTTTATAATGAAGGTGCATCATTATTATATATTAGTATACAAGTTTGTGATGGACCCCATCTTACATGAAATAACTATCTATCATAATTTATTTCATCTGTGCCATCTCTCACTTTAGTTGCAGTAATTCAGAAAACAACATTCATTTAATAGGGTCCAGGGTGTTTGTGAACTGGCAGACTGGCAGCCAAATTAAAGTATATCCAGATTTCATTTTCCAATGTGACATTAATGTAACTAATATGATTAATATCTGGTGTTAGTAGAAAGGCTCCGGTTCTTTTTAATCCACAGTCGTCATTTTATGACCAATTTATGTCTTTATACACTCCACAAACTACCTCTGACCAACTACCTGATGTAAATCATATTTGGCAGCTCAACTCTGACTTTGCCAACCAATTACAGTACACCCTACCAAAATATGATGTGTCATTTCAGAAAGCAGCCTGTAACATGATTTCTGATTGGCTGCTGGAACCACAAGACTTGGGTGTGATTTGCATACTGTAGGTCAAATGTAGCTAAAGGTGTGTAACACCGATGACCATAAATCATCGCCTGTGTCCTTAAAGCGCCATCAGAGCCCCTACCTTAAACACAGTATTAATCAGATTGAATCATAAGTTTAAATAAACTTTAAAAACAGAATTTTATGCAGGATATACATTTACAGATCAAGATTACGTTATAAATGCCCAAAGCATTGATTGTTAGCAATGTTTTCCATTACTTGAAATGATGACACATTCAATGAATTTGTGTTCTGAACTCTTACTGGTTATATTAGTTTTACACTATAATTGTTGTTAAACACTAACGGTAGAGACATATCATCCTTAGTAACTATAACACAACTGTCAGCATCTTTGGTCCTCGCTGATGTCGAAACGGTCCTAGCTCGCTGCAGAAGAGAGACCGTTTTTGCATCGGTGTACAAGCTCTGACTTCGTGCTCTGTTCACAAATCAAAATTAAAAGGGAGCAATATGGTTGAGGTTATTGAAGTATATGTTCATTCCTCCTACTACATGCACTTTTGAAAACTATAAGTCAGAAGAAACAAATAAAATAATCAAATAAACATATTGCAATCAAACTACTTATTGGTAGTGATTCTACAATTCAGTGTGATACCAAAATTAAATAATCAAATAATCTAATTTTTTTTTCTAAAATTGGTCAATATCTGTTTCATAGCATATACCCAAATGTCACCAGACATTTTCTTGAATGCAAAAGATAAGACAATAAATGGGTGATAGATCGGTTTCAATGCTAATTCACATGGATTTGTTCATTTCATATAGTTCACATCAAACCACTAAGAGGTTCAACGTTGTATTCATAATAGGTCTACATCCAAATTATATATTTCTTTCTTAAACAGATGTCTGAAACAGATTGATTTTGTTTTTGCTAAACACAAAATATGCCGCAGATAAGATACACCAAGATCACACCTTCTTTTCTACTGCAGACTGACTTAACATCTTTGTAGTGGCAGTACATGTATATGGGGCATTGTGAAAAGCAATGAGGAAAGCATGATGAAACCTGTGAGTGAAATAGATGTGGCAATTTTACTTCACTCAGCGCAAAGTTTGTACATACAAATTTTGGTATTGAACACAGACATTTGGTTACACTTTTTAGGAATGATTTGAAATAAACACAATAACCAATGGTTGTCCCAAGCTTGAGAATAACTTATTCATAAATCAACAAACCAGTTTAAAATTTTAAAACCAAACGAAAACAACCATAACAATGTGGCAAAGGATGACATTCTTTTTCATTTATGATATGCACAAAGTAATTTAAAATTTCGCTACTGGAAGTATAATTGGATCTAAAATATTAACATATTATTTTTAATAACTTATTTAAATGCTGAAATGAAAGGTAAAAACAAATTTAACATCACAGTTAAGATCAGGTCAGCATTAACAGTTGCCACTATAGAGATACATGTAGGAACTGGGGGATGGATTCTCTAGCCATAGCCCACTATTGACCAAGGGAGGAGAAAGCAGCAAGAAAACAGCGCCCTCTATGGACCTAGTTGAAAAATCTTATTACAAAGGTAATAGGTTTCTTGGGGACCTCTTATAGCCTGTACAGAACACCATTACATACGAATATAAAAGTTAGCTATAATAACAGGAAAACTGCATTTACCTATAGTGGAAAAGAGGTAATAATTAACTTTATCAAACACTAGTACCCAGAAGGTTTAGCATTCATAATACAGGTTATTCAATGGCAAACAGTAATGAAATTATCGAGTAGCAATAACTGACTTGAACCATGACACATCCCTATTGATTTTGAAAGCTTACACGCCTGTAATATGCATGTATTTGCAAGACCAGAAGGTGTGTAAATGGAAAGTCTGTAATGATACAAAACACCTTGTGTGTTTTGTGCACACATATAGTAAGACATATTTCAACATAACTAACTGCTCATGATTGCAGGGGGGAGTCGTCACCTGCGCATGCAGCAGATGGTCATGGCGTATCGTTGTTTACAAACAAGTGTCTACCCATGAGCCTTTGCATTGTTATCATACGTTGTTATTGACGCATGGGACTCAATTCTTGTGCATGAGCAGGTGACAACCCCTCCGCTTTAACACCAACACTACAACAGTAATATTTTGAGAGCCAATTTTTTTTCCCTCAAATTGGGGTACATTTTTTTCACATTTTCTGTAATTTTCACTGAATTCAATCTCAATTTTGGACCAAACAGACAGAATGTGACATTGCTTCTAGTTTTTGATAAAATTTTCGTAACATTCTTTATAGAATAGAGCAGACTATGAATGGAACTATTTTGTGGATGGTGCCTGAAGTTGACTTTGGTAGACCTACTAATCACAACTTAAGTCACAGTGTTATGAGCACCCTCAGTAGTTTGATCAATATGAGCGCCCTCAGTGGCCAGCCACTGTGTGCAGAATTGGCACCCAATTACCGGTAATATACAGAAGTTTTTTCAAATAAATATATTCTGCTGAGAGTGAATATTAGATGCTAAAATTAAACTGTGCCAGAATCCTACCTTACTCCTGAATCATAACAAATCATTTCATATTATTTTTTCTAAAGGAGGTGGCAGGTGTGATAAAGTATCGCTTTCACACCATTTGATACATTCACGTTTTTTTATAGTCATTACTGCTATTGTATAGAAAAGTAGGTCACAAAACATAATAAAGACCAAATTACAATCAAAATATGAAAGTATACGAGTTTCTTTTAATTAAATTTTATAATGTCCCATTCATGGTGTTATTGAACAATTTAACAGCATGAAGGGAAGCTATCAGGTTTCAACTGAGGATACAGTGTACACAGTATGTAAAAACCACCATCCACAAACATTGCAATGAAACTAAAAACAATAACAGAAACTTTACCTCGGCCCATACTTGTGAGGAGATCCACCTGGACTCAAATTACCATTGTACTTGCCCTTTTCAAGGTTTGATGGAATAGTTGACAGTGCTAAGTAGGAGCGAATAGGAAACGGAGAAACTCAGTAAAATTATATCATATATTTTTCATATCTTTTTTTTTTAGAAAGTTGTAGTAAAACAAGCCACTGCAAAAAAAGCTTTAGGAAAAAAGGAAAATGCAATTATGAGAACAAGATATTTCTTCAGCCATGACTGACATGCATCTGAAAGATACGAAAATGCGTAACCTGTGAAACGTTACCCCCGTCTGGATTGATATATCGTTTCTTACAAGGAAGACTTGACTTACATTGACCAACAAACGATGTACACGGACTTGTAAATGGAAATTTTACAAAGGGATAACATGCTACAAATTATTAAAAGGATAGTAGGCATTGTTAGGCTTTTCAACATTTTTTGATGATCTCACATCACTTTTTTGTTTTGTTTAAAAACTTATCAAAAGTTAGTAATTTTCTATACATTTACAACCAAATATTAAATAATTTATGCAAAAACAGATAAAAATCAGTAGAAAAATAAATGCACTCAAGCTATATTGTGGACTGACTGTGGTAGCTGAAGGGACGTATGCAAGTGAAAGTTAGGTAGTCATTCCCCTGCAAGAGTTCTCTTGATGTCCACATTGTGTTATTATTGAAGATTGGATCACTAAATCAATAACTGTAGCTCTGAAAACTGATCATCTGTTGGGAAGACTGAACTCAAGACACTGATAGGAGGGTGGGCGCATTAACAGTTTTTAGGAGTTGCTGATCATTCATGATTAAACTCAGAATCCTTAAGTGTCTTAGTCTTTCTTTTTTAAATTAGAATTTAACCAAGACACAAAATATTTACACATGTAAGTAGATTATAATTATTTAATAAATTGTTCATTTGTAATGTGTGTTTTTTCATTGAATATTAAATGAACATCAGCACATTTATATATTTTTTCATCAAAGAGAACTATTGCAGGACCAGATCTTCCCAAGTTGAAAAAGAGTTGGAAGTTGGGCTAACATTTACCAAACCAAATAACATAACCATCCTTGTCAGCCAGTTCTGTCATCCCAAGAATGCGGTGGCAAGATTTGAAGAGATGAAAATCTCATCAATGCATACAATACAACTTAATGTGCTCTTTTTCTTTCAGCAAAATAAAAATTAACTACTTAATAAACAAAGTGTCACCAGTGTCAAAAGAAAAAGTGCAAGAATCCCACGAGGATACAGAGCTTTGAGTAGAATTTATGTAATAAGAATTATCATTGGTGAATATTCATCACAAACTTAACAAGAACTATTTATGGATCATTTCATTAACTCTTTATATGGGATAAATTGGTTATGGATTGCAATTTATATGGAAATGTACCACTGCATATTCATAACTTCCTAGAAAGGAAATTTATCAGTGAGGGATGCAATGACAAGTATTGCTTTAACATGGTAATACAATGGTTATGGATACAACAATAAATATTCATTACTTCCATATATGCAAATACTATGGATATGGAACAGGGATGAATATTCATTACTTCCTTATAAGGGAATGAGATTGTCACAGTAATGAATATTCATTACTTCCATATATGCAAATACAATGGATATGGAACTGGGATGAGTATTCATTACTTCCTTATAAGGGAATGAGATTGTCACAGTAATGAATATTCATTACTTCCATATATACAAACACATTGGATATGGAACAATGATGAATATTCATTACTTCCTTATAAGGGAATGAGACTGACACAGTAATGAATATTCATTACTTCCATATATGGAAATAAATAGACTATGGAATTGTGATAAATATTCATTACTTCCTTATATGGAAATAAATGGTCATATGGATGCAGTGATGTTTATTCATAATTTCTTTATATGAAAGTCAGTCAGTTAAGAAAGTGGAGATGCATATTCATTTCTCAATGAGAAAATAGTTAAGGAATTATTTAATTATGTGTGAAAGTAGATGCAATAGTGATAATCCATTTAAAGTTTGATGCAAGAAACATATTTAAAAAAATCATCATAATCCGCTTTTTATATAATTTCAAATTTCAACCTGTGATGTATATACCATACAGATGTATGAGAATGGAACATTAATGAGATGAGAAAGAAAGAAAAAAAAAAGCATATACATGCAGGGTGAACTTGCTAGCTTGGCAGGCATTACCTTTACGTTCCTTGTTCGTCATGTTGTAAGGCGGTAATCTGCTTACTACAAATGAGGGTGGCATAAAGCGAGGGAAAAATGACGCAGGGGATGTTAGTGTGTGTGTGTGAAACAAACAATAATACAAAAACACTATGCAGATGAGTGAATATGGTGAAAATAACTGGTTAGTTGTATGGTATGGTAGACATGATATCTTACTTCATTTCACATTTTCTATTATTTTTTATTTTCAACGGAATAAATTCACTCCAAAAATTTGAATAAGCAAGCCGAGTGATCATTTAATAATATGACAATGACAAACACTAATTGAAAATTGAATAAAATTTACAGAGTAGTACAGATATATTAGATTTCTTTTGTTTATTTTTGTGTTCTTGACCTCACTGTCATTTCTTTTCTCGCTGTATGACATGTTTACATTGTACGCTATAGTTTTAGCAGTGTCTTGTTGAATGTAGATCTTTATTAGTTGCCATGTCAAAAATAGTGATCTAGAGACTAACTATGGAAGATATATTTACATAAATATATATATATATATATATATTTTATGTTTAATACACTGATATATGGTATTTAATAGAGAAGAAACCTCCTAATATTTTAGTATACAAGACTTAGTGCAAATGAGGTTGTGATTAAATTCTATAGTTGGCTGATCAAATAGACTGCGTATACATGCACACAATTGTGTATGGGGGGATGAGGCATCTATTTTTAATAGTCTGTGTATACATATATCTCATATTCATAAAAACAAAAGATTCAAAGGTATCAACACACTAAATCACACCACCACCACCACCACCACCACCCCCCCCCTTCCCTCTCCTCCAGAATATAGGAAGCAACAACAGTTTAATAGCCAGGACATGGTGCGTGAGTTACTAAATATGTTAATTGGTGCCCCCAAATATCGTATGTGAATTTCCAAATATAGTACATGTATGCAAATTTCCAATTAAATATGCGTGACACAATTGTTATTAATTGTATAATTTCACATACACTCAAATAATGAGTAAATTAGAAGATATGGTGTTTCAGTGAACAAATTTAATATCAATGTACAAAATGTAATATTCCACAGCGTCATAAATATGGTACAAGTGTGAAACCTATAAATATGGCCAACACTCGCATGTGGATACAGATAGATGATCTACCATAGAACTGTTTTCAGTACTACCGGTAGCATCAAAGATAAATATATTGTATTGTTCGATTAGCATGTGAAAATTAATTAAAGTGAATATATAAAATGCAAAATTCGGTTTACATTTAGTACAATTCAATATACGGTATGCATGTTTTTACAAATATGGTAAGACTCTTTCAATTATTGGTTTTAATTATCATCAATTTCCCAGAAATGCCCCAGATATCAAATATTAAGAATTAGAAAGATTAAAAAAACATGTAGTATGTACTTACAAAAATAAAAACTTAAACGCAGTTTTCATTATATATTTTTTAATAAATTATGAACTAAAAATTAAAAAATAAATAAATAAATAAAACTCACAACCCAGCATTCTAAAATGTTATCAAGTCAAGACAATGCAGTACATGCATTACTCAAAACTAAAAGAACTATTCAAATGACCCTTCTTGTTTAGTTTTCATTCCTGAAATCCATGCTGTTAATAACCATGGCAACAGCCATGCACAATGCATATAATCCCATGAGGGAGGCCACCTACACAGTGGAACTGCTGAACACCTCAATCAAAACAAGCCATCAAAATGCACAAAAATGCAAACGCAAACAGCCTGCAAGTTCTGAGAAAAATCAGAAAACAACATCATGAATGTTGAAAATAGAATGTCATAGAAACAAAATAAAAACTGTGAAGAAATACTTGATCTGTTTATACTTAATTACCTACAGAACTATATTGCCAATATATATAATTATTATTTTTATATTTTCTCCCGCAACTTCTTTTGCCAGGCATAAATACACACATGAAATTACTGGAGAAAATAAATTACAAGCACTCGAAATTACCTACTTTAGTTAGTAAAAAAAAAAATATTATATTCTCCTGCAATAATTTTAATTTCTTACCAGAAACTTCATCTTTAAACTCATCTTTTGTTAAAGTTTCAGCATCAAAAAGGATAGTCTCTCTAACATCTTGATAGTAGCAACAGCAAGAGAAAAATAAATCAAAGTACAGAGAGGAAAATAAAGAGTATGAAGAGCAGGCATGACTGTTTTACTGGCATGTGAAAGTTTGTTGACCTGTGAAACCTAAAAAATCTCAGAATAATTTCTAAAATTTATGGAAAAAATATTATTATTAACATGGATCAATATGAAATAAGGATTTCATAAAATCTCAAAATATACTGGTTATATTCATACTTGGTTAAGATGCAAATTGAACATCTCTTATCATTTTCCAACATGCAAATATAGTTAGATGTTTTGCTAGGCCTAGGGGGTCTTATCGAAAATATAATCTATAGTGTTATAGTTAACAAAAATACTTTAAACAGTTGCGACAGAAGGAATGACTTAAAGATATGATTTCTGTTTTATGGAAAGTCTTGTACTTCATTTAGATTGTCAGAGATCCACTCTGTAGCTAAAATAAGTTCAACATTTTCAATTAATAAGCATCAAAAGCACACCGCCAAAAATACAAGATATTTTGCATAATTGATCAGAAAATTTGCATAATTGATCAGTCTATACAAGTATGAAATGTCTGAAATCTTTATTGAAACAATCAAGGTCTTAGTTACAATAGGCTCCGAGAATACAATCCTAAAAAAACATATGGACATACATTTTGAGAGTTTTGAAAATTATTCTAAATTAAACCCTGGGACAAAAAGTCACAAACTTTCACATATCAGCAACTTAGCATCAATAGAGGCTGGAACAGAAATATAGCAAAGCAGTTCATGAACAATGGATGAAAATGACAATGATGAGAAACTATTACCTTTCCACCCCTCGTCTGCATATAAATGGTACAGTCCATGAATGCAAAACACTACAAGAGTGTAACACATGCTGAGCATGAGAGGGGTGAGAATGTTGCCAAGATGGGAGGAATATGAAGATGCAACGATGTGTGACATCACTCACAACGATCTTTAATCTGTACAACACGCAGTGCTTAGAAAACTAACTCTACTTGTCTGACAGGGAATACGGATAACAAGTGGAATAAATAGAAGGAAAAAAGGAAGGTCTACTTTGCTAGTTTATCATCCAGTGATTATTGAAAAATAAAAAGTGTAAAAATTCAGGGAATGGTTTTGCTAAAAATCAGGTATAAAGTTATAAATAATAGCACGCAAACGGTATAACACTGTATGGTCTATAACATATATGAAACAAAGTCAAGATCAATTAAACAGTATTTTCCATTCAACTTATCACAACCAAATTAAATCTAAAGCCTTCTCATTGACAAATCACAAAAATCAACTATGAGGAAAGTACAGTGTGAACTGTGAGCTAACGAAACACAAACCACACAAGTTGTGATTAAAATGTATGTCCACCATTAGTGAATATAATTCACGGTCAAAGATGCTTTGGCGCTCTGAACTGATTTCATGTGGACCATACAGACCATATACATCATCATAGTCCATGGAACACCTATCTATACTAGTACTAACTATTAAAACAACATTACACTAGGTTTACTGGTCACTAGACCAGTAAATACCACTAAGCATTTCACTAGGACTAAACTAGCAACGGAATAGATTGCCTAAATCTAAAGTGTGCAATCATTAACATGCACATAACATGGAGTCGTATAATCTGGATACAACATGCACATGATACATAGAGTCAGGTGATATAGGCATTGGAGTGAAAGTCCACATATAGGTTTGTTTGTTTGTTTGTTTTACAATGTATATATACTACTATCAATTTGCATAATAATCCCACAATGCATTGCAGATGAGTTATCAGGTTTGAAAAACATCCTCAACTAAACAGAAATCACAGCAAAATTATAACATTAGTTTTAATGTTTAGTCGTTTTTAGATTAGATAGATTTCATATATCAGTAAACTTTACAAATTACTTATATTTTAATACAATTTCTCCAAACAGAATTGGAAATTATAAAACCAAGACTATACGTCCAAATTTTGAATAAGAAATGAAGACAGAATGTTTTTGTGAATGGCTGTAATCATAATGGAAACATGTCTGAAAATCAAGAGAGTTAGGGATTTAAAGAGAGTTAAAGAGTTCATACAATTCTTCTTGACTCTCTGAAGCTCTCCTAAAGCATTTTCAGTTTGTTTCCTGCTCTATGATGTACTTCAAATGTTTGGGGCTCCATCATCTTTCTGATTTTAGTGAAGTCACAAGAATACAGTGACAAAGAAGCTGCAAATCATGTCTAGGATTGTCCTCTATGCTAGTAACACACGGTTAGATCCAGAACAGGGCTGGGAAACATACATACATAAAATGTGGTAAACAAAAAATAGACACACATCACACATGGAACATGAACAACGATGACAACGGGATGAAATACGACCATAATGTGGTTTGTGAAGAACAGGAATGAAGAACAAGGTGATGAAAAAGAAAAACATACCACGAACGATTTCTAGGAAGAAGGTGACAGGTAGAATTAACATTAATTGAGTAATTAGTATAACAACATTAATTACAACAACAACAATACATACATGTACACATCAATGGAAGAATTCACCAGTGGTCACTTAATTGCTCTAAGAATATGGTGGGGGATCATCTGAATTCAATGACTAGATTGAATTTTCATGGCATGTCATCACCGCATCCAAATGCTAAAAGTAAATATGATGAACATGTTGGCTGTTACCCATTCAATTTTGAATGTGTTACCAGGTAGTATTAATTCTACTTTTTTCATTCTCATTTTCAGATGTTTAATACAAATGTCAGCCATTTTGTTTTTAATACAAAGTTTCCGCAAAATGATTGGGACAAATTTAGTGCAACATATACATTTGTCAATTGGAAAGAAAAATCTTGATAACATATTTATGAAAAATTAAGTTTTGAGAAAATCTGTAAGAAATATTCACTGCTACAAAATGTTTTAATTATCCCCTTTCATTTTCTACAGATTTGTAAAATTTGAACGAACTGACCCTGGCAAGCATTTCCAAGTATTACAAAAAATAGATGGAACATTAGGAACTGACAAGGAAATATAAAGTAGGCAGATACTATAACAACACAAAAGCAGAAAGAAAATAACACAATAATGAATTTTAAAACACCATATTCCCCATCTGTCGCCACCCATAATGGAAAAACACTTCAGTTAAACATCTACAAATTATACCATTTCGTGCTTTTAAATTCGATAGCCCTATAAAGCATTCAGGTGGGATTGATTTATGCCTCCCATTTATAGCATTAAACTTGAAATTATTTTTTATGATGATTTGGATTTCTACACAAGCTGTACAACACAATTTGATAAATAAACTACATTAACGGGGGTACTCAGAGCAATGACCCATTTCAAAGTTTAACGACAAGAAGATAATGCTTCATTCACCCCAAAGCTATCATTCACACTAACCAATCCCTTAATCCCTATAATTTAAAATCAATCAGGCTGTAAGTTGTCCTTACCCATTGCTTGGTTCACGCAGCCGCCTTATCACATGTAATAAATATTGAAACTTCACTGAGGAACATTAATTAGTTTTTATCCAGGAATCTAGCAAACTTTTCACCTATTGGCTCAAATTCTAGCTCACCTGTCCTATCTAGTAGTAACAACCAATCAGAATATAGGTTACATTTCCAACTAACCAATCATTTCTACTATCATACATTAATATTTGCATACATCTGCTTATAAAACTATACCTTTATACCCCATATATGTTCTATAGATGGTTCAAACCATTCAAACAATAGGGATAGAGGGTTGAAATGGCGGGGTATAATCACAACAAAATTTTTCAGATAACCATAGGAAAACACAGTTTATTCCTCAAGTTTTTGTGTTGTGAAATAATTAAGAAAGACCTACTATTACGTTATATAGACTACTGCATGCAATATTTGGACCAATTTGAGCTCCTACAATTTGCAGACAGGTAACTCAAACAGATGTACTGTAAAATGACTAATTTTCAATGGGTTTAAATTTCGTTGATTTACCATTTCAGGCATATTCAGTGGGTTTTAAATTCACGGTTTTATCATTTAGATAATGTGTTCTAAGCTAAATTTTACATATTCACTGGGTTTTAATTTAGCGCATTTTCCAGTCAGCGGAATAAGCAAAATTAAAACCCAGTGAATAATTAACCCCTTTACAGTAATACAATAGCTGTAGAAACTGGGAGGGCAAGACTGACCTCCAAAGTGTTGAAAATCTGATCACAAAACATGTTTTCCTATCATTATCTGAAACGTAACTACTGTAAGTAGTGCCCTTTTCGAATATTGGACGAGCATGATTAAGTTGATCATGTGACACTACTAATTTACATATTCATTGTAGCTACAGTATTTCTTATTGCAAACCAACTGTTGTGACACCTGATTAAATTCTTTCACCACTGAAATGTCCAGACATTATAGAAAAAAAATAAAAACAGGAACAGTGTGACAGGAACTCATTCCATCGTTGCAGTGAAGTGTTTCTGGGTGTTGAGACTTACTTCTTCAATATATCAAATTTTAATTTTATTATATAAAAATAAATTAAACTATTGAATTATGTGGGTGTGATTTACAAAGGATTATAGGATAGATATTTAATTAAAATATATAACTATAAAATTATTGTGCAGGATGTTCCTTACAATTGTAGAACAGGAGAAGTTCTATATCAATTAAAAAATATTCTGATTCTTACCTCCTATTTAAGAGTCACATGCAGTTATTGAAAAACCACGTCATCATCTCAATTTATTTATTTCATTACATTTCTGAATGCTCAGTCACAAAATTGAAACAAAAATAATCTCCATAGTATACAAGTAAAATAATCTTATATTGAGTGACTTATGTGGTTAAAAATGCAATTTACAGTCCAATTCTGTCGTAAACATGTAATCTCAAAACTGAGAACTAATATTTCACATTTCTGGTAAATTAGACTAATGGAGATCAATTTCAGTTTTGTGACAGAGTTACTATGGGAACCTCCTTGCCTGCTATTGGTGTGTAGCACGACCGATGATATAAACACACCACAGAAATTGTATTTATATCACTATAACTTTAATACAACCAAAGTTACAGAAGCTAGAAAGAAACCCCAGAGTTTTGGAAAGAAAAGTAACCAGTACTTACCACTCTCACACCTGCATTGTCTTATTTTTCTTACATCTGATATTGTGCTATGACAACTTTTACAGTAATAATACGCTCTATAAATAAATTAAAAAAAAATTGATTACAGTACTGTAAAATACTTTATTTTAGCTGGAATTAATTTTCGCTGAAAAGACATTTTGGTTGTTTTGTATGGAATTCATTTTCACTGATTTTTGACAAATTGAATGTAAAATATAAGAGAAAAGGTATATTCGCTAAATTTTATTTTTACTGAATCATTCCTTTATCGAAAATTAATTCCAAGCCAAAAAAAAGTTTTCTAAAGTATTTGTAATGGATGCTACAGCTTCTTGTTATGTAATCTACTGTACTCACTGAATATTAAACCCTTGAATGTAACAATTGTTCCCGTCAAAATTTTAGTGGAACATTTGGTAGTATTTTATGAATTTTTCTTACATTTTTTTGTTAATTTGGGACCAAATAAACATAATTTCTAATCGGCTAAAGGTCATGAGCAAAAGTTTTGAAAAAATATAATAAAAAAATTATGTTTTTTTGTGAATAGAGACAAAAATTGACTTAGGCACTCGAAGTGATAGGGCTAGATGGAATGCAGCATTGGTCCAAACAGTTGATGGATATCTGAAAAGAATACTAGTGATATACTGTAGTTATGAAATGCACATATACTGTAAAATCTGTATTAAAAGCCACGGCTCTTATTAAAATGGTACGATGCAACAAAGGGGATGCGGCTTCTATTAGAGCATCTACACATATGAGAAATGGTGAATTTTTGGGTCTCAATTGTTCAAAAAGAATGGGTGCGGCTTCTAATACAGATTTTACGGTTGTAGAAGGCCAGAAATAATCCAGGTACATGTACATCAGATATAGAGAACGCTGACTGCCATTACACTGCGAATGCTTTAATTAACACTGCCAATTCTAAGAATTGTCCCTGGAGGTAGAAACTGAGAAGCATATTTTATAACATGACAACCATGTCCATTTAAGTGTGTACTTGCTATCAAGCGGAACCAATGATGCACTGAATGTTAAATAGTGTGTTTAAATGGCATGTACACTTGACATTGACTCTTGAGAGTACACTTCAATCAATGTCAATGACAAAACAGTTTTGAATCCACTTTGTATATGTAAAAGTCATGGGAATAACTAGGAATATGAGGAATACGTAGATTATTGTTAAATCAAAATTGGCTGAAGATGAGCTACATATGTATACATTCTATTAAACTAAGTATAATTTTGCAGTCCAAGAATACAGCTGTATATATATCACATGTATAATTTGAATTCCAGACGTGTTATTAGATTCCATGTTATTTCACATGTATGATTTCCATTGCAGGTGTTAATTTACATTCAAGGAGTACAACTGTATATATGAAGTCTATAATTTGAATTCCAGGTGTGTTATTTTATCCCAGGAGTACAACTTTATTTCACATGTATAATTTGCATTCCAGGTGTTAATTTACATTCAAGGAGTACAACTGTATATATGAAGTCTATAATTTGAATTCCAGGTGTGTTATTTTATCCCAGGAGTACAACTTGATTTCACATGTATAATTTGCATTCCAGGTGTTAATTTACATTCAAGGAGTACAACTGTATATATGAAGTCTACAATTTGAATTCCAGGTGTGTTATTTTATCCCAGGAGTACAACTTTATTTCACATGTATAATTTGCATTCCAGGTGTTAATTTACATTCAAGGAGTACAACTGTATATATGAAGTCTACAATTTGAATTCCAGGTGTGTTATTTTATCCCAGGAGTACAACTTTATTTCACATGTATAATTTGCATTTCAGGTGTTAATTTACATTCAAGGAGTACAACTGTATACTGTAGAATACTTTATTTTCGCTTGGAATTTATTTTCGCTATTTTTACTGAAGGGATGATTCCGTGAAAATAAAATCCAGCGAATATACTTTTTTTCCTATATTTCACATTCAACTCATCCAAAAATCAGTGAAAATAAATTCCACAAAGAACGCCCAAAAAGCCTTTTCAGCGAAAATTAATTCCAGCGAAAATAAAGTATTCCACAGTATATGAAGTCTATAATTTGAATTCCAGGTGTGTTATTTTATTCCAGGAGTACAACTTTATTTCACATGTATAATTTGCATTGCAGGTGTTAATTTACATTCAAGGAGTACAATTGTATATATGAAGTCTATAATTTGAATTCCAGGTGAATAAATGTATCAAGTCTGTAATTTGCATTTTTTTACTGATATAGATCTGCCAAATGTATGTACAATACACAGCTGTATTGACATGTCAGCCAATATTTACCATGGATCATATTCAGGCACTTTGTGATATTCTCCCACAATGCATTAATATTTTAGAAAATGAGAAATAAATTACGACAACGTACCTCTTTACTTCCTGAGCAGAGGGTGCGACAAAAAATCCTAAAGTTCCTTCGTTTATCCTGACATTGGGACCTGGATTTATTGCAATCCTTGGGAAGAGAATGAAAAGTTTGAAATAAATAGATATCCCGTAAGAATACAGGTCAGCTGGAAAGATGAAAAGTTATCACAATGCAAATCTTTGAAAAACATTTTGTATTTCCATGAATAGACCTGGATGCATGGGAAATAAATCAGAATTGTTACAAATGTGATTATTAGTCTAGTCTAGTCAAGTATAAGGGAACTGATCATTACCACCAAGCCGGTTTCCTGTGAGTCTCCTGCGGCATGCGTTTCTTTACCGTACCGGCCGTTGCTTTACCGTACCGGCCGTTGCTTTACCGTACCGGCCGCTGCTTTACCGTACCGGCCGCTGCTTTACCGTACCCGAAGGTCATTAGCCGTACCGGCAAGGCCGTTACCGTACTGGCAGGAGGCAATTCACACTTCTGACAAGTTAATTTATGCATTGATTTTCCGGTTTACCGGTAAAATGCCGACCTGTTTAAATTTCAGTTTTATGCACAGGATCGCCTGAGAAAGCAAAACTGTAGAATTAATTTGAGTAGAATTTGTTTAGTTTGTAGTTATAGTCTGTTTATAAATCATTTTGTTCATGTTTGCTATGCAGTAGCTTTCGAGGTCAAATACACCACCAGGTCAATTTGTTGCGTCTTTTTATTTGTCAGAGATTAAACTTTACCATTATTATTGCATAATATTTACATTCAAGTTGCGCGTGATAATGCTACACATGATTTTTTTGAGACCATGGAGCTCCCAGTACGTCCATGTGAACTGTTGGATACGACTATAGCCCTGAGTACAG